GTTTGTGTTCGAAGGCAATAGTACGCCTTATAGTTGCATTCGAATATTTTCGGAAAGCGTATCAAACACTTTCGAGGCTTATCGAGGCCTTCAAGAATCGTCTTGACTGACTTCGAGTCGTCGGGAACCTGACCACTTACTCCCTCACACACACAGTCTCAGTCCTAGTCCTACACACCCCTTTTTAGGTTATTTTAGGGTTAGGAACTCCGTAGACATATCAACGTTCAACAAGATGGCCCAGCTAGAAATCAATGAGACGTTTGGGGCCTCCAAGCCATGCAGCCGCGGTGTAGCTTGAAGCTCTAGCATCAGGGCCACATCAGCACTGTGTGACATGCATGTCACAGCTGGTCACCCAAGAATTCTTTCGAGTTCTGAGCACGAACTTACTGTTTACTTTAGGAATTGATCCGACCTTGTTGAGTTCCCAGGCAGCTTCCCACGTCATGGCACATCTGCTAATTTCTGTTTGAAAGTTGCTAGTACATCCCATCATGCAGACATTTGAAGGGTTGGGAATAGCGTCCCTTTTGCTCTTCTTCAGCACACTGTTCATGCAGAAAACAATGGATATTTTTGTCAACAGGTGGAGGACATAACTCCTCCCAACCAGAAGGATAATGAGCATGCATAGTATTTGCCCAAGGCCAAAACCCTTCACGGAGTGCCCGGCAGACAGATTTTACAAATGGTTAGTTGGGGTGACTTTCGAGTAAGGATTCAAAATGATTGACATTGATTGGAGTAACAATAGCGAAAAGATGTGAGCAGAGATCCAAGGTGGTCGTTACTTGGAAATCAGACTTTTCTTCCTCTGGCACTTCGGGTACAGGCTGTAAATGCAATGAGGCTTGTGCAACCGTACAACGAGGATAGTCATCAAGTTCAGACCAGATCCAATTCCTCCGGTAATGAGGACGTCAAACATTCATATCCCTAAGTGGTGCATTCACGTGCAGTATGGGTTCGCTGTCCACATTTCACGCAGTCGTTGTTACAGCTTGGAGGGGGTTTCTTTTCTTTTCCTAACCATTTGTCGTTGACCCTGTACTATACAACTGATTCCATCACTTGATGTGTTTCATCTACATCAGTGTTTCATGCCCATCGTGTTTCACTTATATCATGTTTCACTTACATCACGTTTCACTTCTATCACGTTTCATCTTCATCACTGATACAACCCAGTGAAAACTGTTCTGTACATCACTGATCCAACTCAGTGTTTCATACTTATTAAACTCTATTCATCTTGCCTATTTAAGTAGCACTGCTTCCGCTACTAAACTTTAGTTTTGTCCTCTTGTTCCCTACGTACACTTT